GAATGAATAAAACCATAGTTAAAGGACAACTATTGAGGCCAAGAACAAATGGTGATGCACTAGACATAAATAAATGTAGCCTGGAAAACAGAAGAGGATTTCTTTCCATCAGAGAAGCAAGGCTCTGGAATAGCCTCCCAAAAGGAGTACTGGAGACAAAATCAACCACATTAATTTTTAAGATGGAGCTTGATATGTTTATGAAAGCAATTACACATCATGGTTGCCTGTGGTCATAGGGAAGGTGACTGATGTCCCTGCCAATCCTGTTGCTCATTATTTTGCTCAAAATTTGGTCAACTGAAAGCATGGAAATTCTCACTTGAATGTCCACTAGATGACACATTTAATACAAAAAAAATACCCAAATATTTCTCTTTGGCCTCAGGCCTAATGTAAATCATTTCTGAACCCTTTCAAAAAAGTTTTGGAGGTTGGTCATCTATGTGGGTTTTTCTTTCCTCTCTCTGTTAGGGCTGCACTTTAAAAAACAAGGCTGGCAGTGAATAAGTGGCATGGGGAACTTGTAGATACAGAAGGTATGGCATGAAATCTTGGCTTTCTTGAAGTTAATGGCAAAAGGCCTATTGCACCACACCGCCACATGTGTTTGTCTACAGTATGGGTCTTCTGTTGGGGAATCTACAATTTTGCACAACCAACATCTTACAGCTGGAAATGCAAGCAGACACTCTTTGGGTTCGTTTCACTTTTACAAGCTTCCCTATGGGAAAGATTTTTCAGTATCGTATAGAAGTGAACAAAACATCCTTCCATAGAAAACACGTTAATCTGATTTGGACGTCAAGGGAGGAAACACCAACTCAGCCATTTCCAACCAATTCTGTGCTGTCTCTGTTATGCTTTGGGTCCTGTTGTGCAATTTCTCCACACATGAAACTGCTATTGATTTCCATACATGGAAGGCTGGCTGCGTCTGACCCTCAGGATGACTGAGTGATCCCATTTAAATACTTTGCTACTGGGCTTTGAATGCTTTTGCTAAAGGAACATTGGGGGCAATATATTCCCACTCATTAGGTTGATGGCACAATTTGGAGGTCTCCCTCTTCTGAAGCTCCTTTTTGGGAATGGACAATCTATCTAGACTTTTCAGGCTCAAGGTTCCTAACCTACAATGCAACATCTTTTGAGATGACACACCATTTCAAGCTTCTCTGTGGTTTGCTTCCTTCTCTTCACCCAAGTCCTGAAAAGGCTTGGGAAGGCTTGCTGTCCTGTTCAAAATGCATGACTAAATGTAGATGTATGATCTATCACAGTAGGAAAGAGAGACAGATGTACTATATTTGGCTCGTTAACAGTTAAAGTAATACATAGTACACATCAATGGGGCTACAGACAGGGGAAAAAATATACCTATCTAAAAGAGGGGAGAAGGGAGCGATTTGCTGCTAAATTTACCAAAATGTAGGTCAGCTGATGTATGGTAACTGTTTCATATGTCCACTCCCATCCTGCAGTAATTAGACGTTCCCCTTGTGCACTTAACCCAGGAATGAGACAGCTGCTAAATTACTGCAGTTTAGCTTCCACTTACTGCAGACGAGAGCTTTCTTGCAAAAGACTTGCAACAGATCAACCTGAAGTGCAACAAGTCCCCCCGTCTAAACTGACAGACTTGCTTCATCTGTTGCTCCTCTTCATTAGACATGTAGCCGTTCGCTCAGCTTCCCACCCTCTTCACACACAGTATAATTTGGCTTTGGAGAAGCAGGAAGGATCTATATATATGTATTTACAATACTTGTGAATGAGATGCGACTCTATTCCCCAATAACTTACCTCCAAAATGAAAACTTTCTTTTTCCTTTGGCTTGTTTTACCAAATCAAATAGCTCAAAGGATAAACCTCAGACAGGGCAAATGACAGACTAACACCTACACAGGTCTCCTCTCTTAATACTGTATATGAAGAGTTGACAGTCACTTCCACACAGAAATCCTTTGCAAAGCCCTGTACTCTAAACTCCTGAACCAATGCCCATAATTATAGAGGGCGAGTGGTGGTTTTTTGTGTCTTGCACTTTATCTGTAATTCACCCCTTGGAACGGTAAATATTTATACATATCCCCATCTAGATGACACACGACATCAGTACCTGGTCATAAGAACCTCCCAGTAGAATAACTTCATGTTTTGCATCTATACATTTAATTTAAGAAAAAAAAATGAAGCTGGAACATACCAGTGCCCTTTCTAGATTCCAGCTAAGAGCTGACAGGAACTGATGGCATTTGCATGTTTACTTTTAACGATTTATTACATATAATAATTACATTTTATTTCACATAATGCCCTGGATAGAAATTAGATTTCTTTGCTTTCATTTTACGTTGCTCAGCTTGCCTTGAAATGGGAACTACAAGCTCTTTAATAAACAGATCGTCTAGATTCACTGTACCATGGTGTTTGTAATTACCTATTTTCCCCACTGGGAAAAAAAAAAGCCAAACCCACAGCCAACTTTGATTTAACTTGCTATAAAAAATATTCATCAGCAAATGTAACAGATATTCTCTGCTTCTCTCGGCACCATTACAGCGGGACCAAATCCTGGGTTGCAAACCAGGCTGTGAACCGCAGGCCTTATCCAAAGCCTGCTGGAGTCAACAGCAATCTTTCCACTGATTTCAGCAGCCTCTGGACAATGGACCCATCTCTCCGCATCAAAACACTGCGTGATCTGCTGGAGACACTGTGCAGTGAGGCTTACAAACACACTGCTGGTAGTAAACGTTATACAGGTCAGCAAGAGTAAAAGACTTAGGTGTCACGTTAATAAAAAGGTTACTTCTAAAGTTTGCTGATCCTTTCTTGTTCTAATCTAGGAGGACCTGGGGATGATTTAGTCATTTATTTATTATTTGTGGCTTTTCTCAAGCCATGAAAGCACTCAGGGTGAGTTATTCGGGAGACCTGGTTAGGCCAGTGAACATGTCCTTGTGATCAGAGGCACTCCACACACTGCCATGTTGTACAAAGAGGAAGCCAAGCTTCGAAAAACAGAAGCCTAACATTGGGGCCCCACATCCATATTAAGTGCCTAAACAAGCGGCCTTAACTTCAGAAGTGGTGAGTACTCCACAGGTCCCACTGATTTCCATGACGCTCCTAGTGGTTGCAAAGGTACGTCTGTCTGCACGCAGCATATTCCAGGCTTAGCGTCTTACAGTGTAAATGCTCTCAGACAGTATGGGCCAAGGGGACATCCTATACAGCCAAACCATATTGCCTGTAAAGAAATCAATGAGAGAGTGCTGTACTGTGATTTCTTTGATAGTCGAAAGACCCAAAGGTGACAAGGAAATGGAGAATGGGGCTGTGTTAACTTTTTGACATTTACTTGTGCCTAACACGAAGGCATCTCCCTAAGATGCTGCTTTTGAGCAGGCTGAAGTTTGGGAACCTCTTGTAACCATGTGTAGAACTGGCTCTTGCTAGAAGAGAGAGAGACTCCCAGGTAACCCCCTTTGAAATGTACAGTATACTATATTTCGTAGCGTTATTTATTTACAGGTTTTGTTGTTTAGTACAATGAATCAGACATGCTGAAAAGATGGGGTTTCCCAGTCAACTTGTATAGGAAGTACAGTAGAAAAGGCACATGATTTTTCACCATAGAAGTTGTGCACCAGTCAATAACTTAAAGCTAAAAAGCTACTCATCAAAGGGTTCTCTTCAATGAGGCAGTAGAGGATGGGGATCTCCCCTTCGAATTCTCCACACACACAGGTGCCTCTTAATCCTTCTGGGGGAGCTGCAAGGAGCCCATTCCTCTCTTCTCTTTTGATCATTCCCAAATTTCCACATCAACACAAAGTTCATTTGAGGCTTCTAAGGGCACCCGCAGATATGAGACGGGGCACCTGCATCTGTTTGTGAATCAGTGCCTAATAGTCCACGACTCTGGGGAGTCAACTCCTTTTCACAGTAGTCTGCTTTAACAAAAGCGCCTTGGAGGGTATGGCACACAGAGCAATGAATTACAGTTGAGGTGGCAACTTCTCAGCTCCAGTGGTCAATGCCGACCATGTTTTATCCAGTTTCTAATCATCCACTTTTGCCCCGAGCACCTTTGTACCACGAGTCTAAGCCCAAAGTTGGCATCCTTTGACATTTCTACTTCAAGACACCGTCCAGTGTCTCTACTGATGATTGGGCCATTCTGAATTAAAGAAAGAAAAAAAAATCCCATTAGTGTTGAGAATGTGGAAACAGGAAAGTCCGACGTTATCGAAAAGAATGTTATTGAACGTAACCTATTTTGATTTTGACAAAAAAGTGAAATTTCCTCTCAGAGAACCTTTTCAATGAGAAATATCCAGGCAGTTCTAACATGCGTGTGCACACGTGTGTAAGGGCTTGCACAAGTGAGGTATCTCCCCACTTGGCTGGAGAACTATGACGCCCCCCGCTTCATGTACTTTCTGAACACATAATATAGTCATCTTTTTTTAGTGGCATACAACTACACAGATTCTCAGCCAGCAAGAGCAGGGACTCCTATGCAATTCACAGTAACCTAAAAACCTTTTAGAGTTCTTTTCTGTACCTGTGTAAAATCCCACAGTCTTTGTGAAGCCCTCACAACATCTTCACATTTCTTCAGAGTAGGGGTCCTGCCTTTCCCATCGTCAATGAGACATTTCGAGTCCGGAAGAAAGGCGGTGGAGCCCAGAGGCCCTAACTGCAGGAGCCCTTCAGAGCTGTAGCGAACAAGCTGGAGAAGAGGGAAAAGGGAAAGACACTCTGAAGCACATGAACATTGTTCCTGGGCTCCCAGTACCAACTCCTGAAAAATTATATGCCCTCTTCTATATTTTCAGCTGCAGTTTTTCAGGGGCTCTACTTTGGAGAACACAGGATGCCTTGTTAAAGCTCCTTATTACAGATGCAGAAGCATGAACTGAGCTGCTCCAAGTCAATCCAACTATAAGTTGGTACCAAGGCATAGCAGTTGGGGAGTTAAATGCACCTGGACCTGAAGCTAGTTACATGACTCCCTTGTGTGCCACTGGCTATGGACAATGGCATTCCTTAACTGCACTAGCCCAATGGGTCACATAGACCCAGGGGTAGACCCCTGACCTTTTTATGACTTTGGACAACTCAAGAAATGAGTTAAGAAATGCCAATTCTACAGGGACGTGAGCAACAAAGGAAATGAGCCCCAAGGCTGGGTAAGGCCCCAGAATAGCCCCAAAATAATGGAAGTACGAAGGTGTTTTAAAACCACGTTTGTCCCACCATCCAGTCCTGCCTCAGGAGCAGGAACACCGTCACTGAAAAGCCGAGAAGCATCTTGGTGCTATCACCTGTTTGTTCTGTCCTTTTCCATCACATACCATTGACGCAGAGGGCCTGAAACATGTATTACTTCATTGGATTGCTCAGAAGATATATTGTTCTCTCTCCTTCCCCCACCCTCAAAATACTTCATTGTAAAAGGGCAATCAAGAAAATGAAGTAATCAATATGTAAATCATGCCCACTCTTGAATCCACTCAGTGGGAATTGATTTAACAAGGACACAATGTCAATTTGCCATGCAGTTTGTTCTTAAGAGCTCTGTCAGAGGCTATTGATAGCAATGACTCTAATTTGTTTTTGTAAATAAATGGCATTGAAAAAACCCACCAATGTAACTTGTACATCAGGTATCCAAAAACGAGAGAGAGAGAGGAAAAAAATCACGAGGGAAATAACATCAAATTTGCTAACATAAACATCAGGTTTTGACAATAAAGATCCGGTCTTTGATATTTTACTTTTGTTTGAGGCCTTAATGTTCTGAAGTTTAGCGATGTGGTGAATGCTACTGGCTATAATTAAAGGTTCAGTAAATGACATCCATTATTTTTTGGCCTTCATTTTTTTTTAAATAAAAAATGTAAGCACGCTGCATGCAGGCATTAATGGCTTAACACACACAGCACATAATAAGTTCGCATTAATGTTTCCAGTAGGAGCGTAATGCTCTTTAGAATTTACCCTTTCTTCTAATTTTTTTAAATGATGATTTTGCTTGCCTGAAGCCGTTTGCAGTAAATGCGCCCAGCACAGAACAAACTGTGTAGCAGGAGGTGGAAAAAAAATCATCTTTAGGAACCTCCACTTGCTGGAAGTCAGAATTAATTTTCTTACATTAAGATCTGCTTGGGGGAACATACAAAGGCAACACGAGGTGGGGGTCTCATGCTGGTGACTAAGCATTACCGTACATTGCATAGGACTGGGATAACCATCGGGATGGTGGTGGCTTCCCTTCAAATTTCACAAATTGTGGAAAGAGCTATTAATTTTTTTTACGGAGTTATAAGCCAGCTGTTCAGTCCAAAGTAAGTTTAAAACATTCACCTTCAATACATCCATCACCAAAAAAAACTAGCCTTATGCTCATTTGTAGCTGGACGACTTGAGGTGCCGAGAGGGTAAGTAACTTGCCTTACTTGAGCCTTACGTTTTTAATTGCATTTTATAGATTGGGAACCTGTGCTAAACAAGTCAACCAATGTGTTATGGTCCTACAGCAAGCTCAAAGGAGTGTCTGAGTCTCCAGTTTTCTTTGCTAACCACTAGAAAATGCGCTTCCCTTTCCATATCTGCTTTGAATATTGATTAAGCAGAAAAAGGCTATTCTGTCCTCAGTTGCACCAGTACCATTCTGGAATAAGGCCATGGGACCAAATACTGGTCCCTCACCCTGCTTAACAAAACTTATGACTCTAGAGCTACCCAAGAGGAAAATTTAGACCTCAGGATATTACAAAATGGAGACTGTTGTGGGGTTCATGCATGTTATGGCGCAAGAGGCTGCGGGTGAAGTCCTGAGCCCTTACAATGCAGTTTCCACCCCAGAAATTCACTGCCTGTCTGCTCTTATTTCCATTAGGAACCAAAATTACTTTTTAAAAAATGGAAGGAAAAGTCACGAACCCTTGACGCTTACTGGATTTTCCTGACCGGTGCATGCAGTATCACTAGGAGCCAAACGAAAAACCTCCGATTAGAGCCTAGTTTCCTACATCTATCCCGTCATTCCTATTAGCCTCTGCAGACTTATCTTGTGAATAATCATGTCTTTCCAGTGGCAAAAGGGCGGTGTCTGTTCGGTTCCAGACTTGTGGTCTTTTGAAGAAACATGTGTTCAGTGTTACCCCCACCTGCCACTTTTGTTCAGAGCAACCATGTGGAGCAAGGAGTTGGGATGGAGCCTGTTTCAGAGAAAGCAGTAAAATAACCCCATGAAGACTCTGGTTGTAGATGAATGAGGGACATCAGTCAGTGCATGGTAAATCAAGACTCCTTTTCCTGCCTTTTACTCTGGCAGAGTTGGGGAAGTGTTTAAAAGAAGCAAAAGCAGGAAAAGTAGTTCAAAATATGAGTGAACTGTCAGCTCAGACAAGTGAACTTTTTTTTCTTCCATGCAAGGATCTGGACTCCGCTTTTATTCTTTAAATTTTCTGCATAATTTACACTTCCAACTTCCTGTGAACACTCAGCAGAGAGTGAAAATGAGATGCAATTAGAGTTGGGAATTGCAGCCACATGGCAACATGTGTCTTTGTGTCACTGCAGTCTTTGCCCTCCCTGATAATCAAAAACTGCTTCCTGCAGGCTGGTTAGCTTGTCTAGGCAACCCAGTCCAGTGTTTATAATCAGCTACCTGCTTTGCACTTTAAGATCAATTTCCCATGGGGCATGATACACTCGCTGGTTTAAATGACAAGAATTTGCCACTGCAGACACTAAAATAAACTGTTTTTTGGTGATAAAATATTCCATTTCCTTTGGAATCCCAGCAGTCGAGATCTCTGTGTGCTGTACATCACAGGAACCAATGTGTTTTCAGACTGTAATATTTATAGGGCAGCCCCATCAAATACAGATAGCTTGCTAAGTCATGTCATTTCTGCTTAGGCCTTAAAAATGTGACACACAAAATAAGTCTCCAGAAGCACCTATGACAGGGAAGGCTGGAGCCACGCGACAGATCAATGCGCTTAGAGATCTCTCTGGATGAAGCTGATGTGCTTTACAATAGTGTCACAAATAGGTTGTCATTCATTTGATCATCATGAATCCAGGTTTTCTATCAGTTCCAACGGCCATAAAACCCATCACTCCATTCTGAAACTTAACATATGAGATCTCAACTTAAAACTGTAGTAAGCAGCACAGTTTTACCACTCATTCCTGCAAATCTGCTGCTGAGGTTAAAGTCCAAGTCTCATGCCTATCTTAAATAATCAAAAAGAGATAATAGCTCTCCATTGACTCCAAAACATCATATATCTCATGGATCCTACAGCAGGGGCAGGCAATTATTTTGGGTGGAGGGCCGCTTACTGAGTTTTGGCAAGCCATCAAGGGCTGCAGGACAGGCAGCCAGGGGCAGATAACTATTAATTTTCTAAAATTTTTAGGGGCCCTGTGGGCCAGATAGAATGGCCTGGTGGGCTGCATCTGGCCCACGGGCCACATTTTGCCCACCCCTGTCCTACAGCATTATAAGAACCAGGTGTCTGAGCAGTACTTTCACATTAAATTGAAGTGCCTTAACAGTGTCTGTAGAGTGACCATGTACAACCCACACTATGGCCGTGTCTCTCTTTCCCTGGTGCTACACTATCAACCGCAGAACAAGAATGGAGATTGAGCTTCAGCCCCCTGTGGTCTTACTCTTTAACAATATATGTAGGAACTTGACCCTTGAGGCCAGATTCTTGGAGAACTCCTGTATTTTGTCAGCTGTTGTGATTTAGGAAAAGAAATGTGTTGACACCCTGAACAGATACAGTGGGAGATAATTATTATTTCTGTAGCTAAAATGATGTCGTCTGTCAATAAACAGCTAGGAATATCTGACCACCTCAACTCTACTTTGGCCTTCACTTTCTTATGGCTGGTCTTCTTGCAGACTACAAACCTGTGGTTCAAAATGTAACCTCTCCACCCCTGCTCTGCAACTTCATTGCTAAGTGGGAGAGACTTGGACCCTGTACTTTTCATTTCTTTGTTAGCCTACAATGTTGAAAGAAACATTGAATTTTATTATGCTTATCAAAGATGTTTTTTCTTTTAATGAGTCTGAGGCAGACAGGGCATGGAAAAAATTTTACAGGGCTTAATTTAACACTGGTGACCATTCAGTGGAGGTCAGTGTAACTATATCAGTAGTGAAATGCCTTGACATTGACCTTGTTCCAGAGGTGTTGGTTGTAGCCGTGTTGGTCTAAGGACATAGGTAGACAAGGTTTTTTTTCAATATCTTTTATTAGACCAACTAAATAGTTGGAAAAATTCTTCTCTGCAAGCTATTGGGTCAGGTTGAGGATGTCTGCAGATGGTCTGCGCTCTTCCTGTGTTCGTCCACAAAGAGCACAGACCATCTGCAGATGCTTCCTCAGCCTGACGAAGGGTATTTGTACCTGAAAGCTTCCAAAGACTAATTGTTCTAACTATTTGAGTTGGTCTAATAAAAGATACCAGATTTACCCAAAGAACCTTGTCTGCCTCTTGACATTGACCTGCCTGACCATGTGGGACCTACTCATTCCTTCATTTGTATTGGAGTAGCACCTTGAGGATGAAATTGAAAATGGCCTAATTGTGCTTTATGAAACAATGCAAAAAACAATTCATGAAGGATAACAGAGAAGGTTACCCTTCAGAGTAACAATTCCTGAAGGGAGTGATCAAATCAGTCAAGAGAGATGG